AGTTATCTCAAGAACAGGCAAGCACGTCAGAGAGGCTGCCTCTATTCTGAGTCTGCATTAGGGGAGTCAAGCTTCAGTGTTAAGCTGGTTCTTCCCATCAAAATGGACAAGTTATCCACAATTTATTGGCTCTTTGACATCAAAGCCTCCTTCTTATTTTCCCACTCCTCCTACTTGAAGCTAGATTTGAGGGGCAGTATTTTATTAGTTGTCAGGGGTTCTTTTTTGTTTTTGTCTGGGCGAGGGGTTGGAGGGGTAGTATTAAGGATCAACCCAGGGTTTTTCACAAACTAGGTAAGCACTCACCAAAACTACATCCCCAGCATTGGTTTTGAGTTCTCTAAAGCCCGGTGGAAAAGCTCACCTTGAATTCCATTAGGTTTATCAGAGAATAATGACAAAAGATTTTTTTGGAGGGGGTGTTATGGTTTACAGGGGGTTTGCCTCCTAAATTTAAAGGCTGCTGTTTCTGGAACATCTCTTGCTGGGAATACTATGCCTCCCTCAGTGATGAGTTCTAGGCCAGAGAGGGTAAGGAGAGGGCAGTTCAGTGAAAAATATTTTCCAGCCCTAAATCAGATTACTTTAAAAATAAAGATAAAACAGATTTAGCAAATAAAGACTGGGTAAACAGTATTAAGGACAGAGCACATGTAGCTGATTGCAAGCATTTTGGATGAGTCCTTTTCCATGAAATCTCCCTATACACTGTCCAAATCCCTAAGACCTACAGATCTAGATGGGATGCCACCTCCCACTGCTGAGGCAGAAGTAATAGGAGTAATAGTCATGGTTGTCCATGGTACATTAAGACTTTGACTCCTTCAGCCTAGTGGCAACAGGACCACTGCAGTGGTACAAAACACATCAAAACATCCCTAGCCCACTCCCCTGGGTGCTTCAGCAGGTGGCTTGGCTACTCTTGTTCCATTATCAGGTTACAAAATTCCGCAATGACACCGGTTTGCAGGGTCCTGGAGTTGGGAGGGAGGACTCAGCGTCACTCCTGGCCCAGGTTAGGCCTGTCCTCTCTCCCACCTGGAGGCTACAGAGCTGCTGTCCTCTGCTGCCCCTTGGTGGGCATCCCTAGCTCTGCAGCTGACCGTGAGGCAGGTAGAGCGGTGCTGCCACCTCCTAGCATGCCCCTGGACTTCAGGTGGGTTGTTTCCTTCAAATCTTCCTGCTACCAGATTGCACCCAGACTGTGGACCACAGCAGCACCTCACCTTGAGCCCAGCCCACACCAGGTCCCAACCTGTCCGGCTTCATCCCTGGGCCCAAGGTGAAGGACTGTAGGTTGCCCCCCACCATTCTGCATGGGCACACCTAGTGCACCAAGTCTGACACTGAGTACCCTGGTGGCTCTATACACTGCAGGACGCCAAGGTGCTCATAAAATTTCAGTCTTACATTCTGAAGTATTTTTCTTTGTGTAGTTTTATCTCTAGTCATGTACTCTGTCCTTGTTCTTTTTCATTTCCTTTCCCTTCAGCAGCTCTGAAAATTTACATCAGCAGGATCATATTGTTGAGAGTAACTTTTAAAAACCATTTCACTGAACTCTGGTGATCATTTGGTATATTTTTTGTAAGATTTCATCTTACCTCGATGTGCCTATTCATCAGAGCTACAACTCCATAAATCTTGTTTCTAATTCAGTAGTCCAAGTGTTTTCTTTGTACCTACTGTGTGCCAGACACTGTTCTAGGCACTTGGGATTGCGATCGTTAGTTTTATGCGAAAGCTTGAATGGACCATGGGTTTGCCAGGTATTTGGTCATTGTTCTGGGTGTATCTCTGAGGTGGTTTTTGGATACAATTAATATTTAAATTGTAACACTGGCCTCCTTCACATAGGTGGGCCTCATTCAATCAGGTGAAGGTTCGAATAGAACAAAAACCCTCCCTTGAGTAAGAAAGCATTCTTTGCACCTGGATACCACTGCAATGGAACACTGGCTCTCCCTGAGTCTCAAGCCTGCCAGCACAAGTATAGCAACTATACTGTCTACTCTCCCAACGCTCAGGCCTTTGAACTTGGACTGAAGCTAAACCCTCAGTTTTCTTGGGTCTCCAGCTTGTTGACTCTCCCTGAAGATCTTGGGATTTGTATGACTCCTTGACCATATGATCAAACTCCTTATGATAAATCTCTGACACCCACACACACGGTACTTTCTGAAGAATTCCAATATAAAGATGCATTAATGAACAAAACACATAGAAATCCCTACCCTAGTAAAACACAATAAACAAGAAGCAAACTAGTAACTAAATGATATAGTAATTTCACAGGCAATGGATGCTATGGGAAAAATACGGAGTCAGGTGTGATGGCACATGTCTATAAACCTAGTTACTGGAGAGGATGAAACAGGAGGATTCCAAGTTTGAGGCCAGTCTGGGCAATTTAATGAGATGTCTCAAAAAATAAAAGGGCTGTGGTGTAGCTCAGTGGTACAGTTTTTCCAGGTTCAGTCCCTAGTGTTACAAAAGAAACATTTTTAAAAAGATGGGAATCACGAAGGCAAGTTACACTTTTCAGAAGTATTTTACAACTTTCACAAATGGTTTCCTAAGCAACTAAATTCTTATTTTTCCTTTCACTTTTTAACTATTAATCACTTTTTATTACTTTCACCCTATGGATTCACAGATACACAATCATAAAAGCTAGGTTGTCCTAGCAAAATAATTCCAGAAAATAGGCTAGTTTCATTTGGTACTGGGAATCAAAACCAGAGGCACTTTTATCTCTCAGCTGTATCCCAGACCTATTTATTTAGAGTTGAAAGGTCTAAGTTTCCCAGTCTGGGAGATAGGTAGGTCTTGCTAAGATGCCCAAGTGGAACTGCAATTTTTAATCCTCCTGCCTCAGCCTTTTGAGCAGTTGAGGTTATAGCATGTGCTACCACACGCTGCTAGGTTACCTTTAAATCAATACCCACTGGTTTGTTTTCAACATCTCACACTCCCATAAAACTTCTGTGTTTTCTTAAGTCATCAATAGCTAATGCTACTGCCTTCCTATAGTCTTGTTCCTTCTAGTCTCGTTATTTTGCTTGTAAGATTTATGTTCCAGTTGCCCCCACCAAAATCCTGTCTTTCCTATAAACCATACACTACTCTTCTGCAAATCTTGGCAGTTCTTCCTTCACAGCATATCAAGAATAAGAGCACTTGACCACTTCTACTGTGACTACCCTTATCTGAATCATGACCGCATTTCCCAGCTCTCCCTACTTCTGCACCTGCCCGTTATCAATACTGAATGTTAGTATTAAAACATCGTTCAGATTGTGCCACGTCTATTCTTCTAGTCTCCAAGTGGCTTCCCAAACCACTGGGTGAGAGCCAATCTGTCTCCTAACCTTGCATTAAACCTCTCACCTTGGCTCCTACTTCTAGCTGTCTTGCTCACGCTGCTTTGGCTGTGCTGTTGTCTTTGGTATTCTGTTTCAACACTCCTCTTGGACTCATGCCTTCTGTGTGCAGTGCTTTCCCTCTGGTATCTGTACAGCTTACGTCCTTACTTCCTGAGCTCCTTACTCACCCATCGTACGCTGTACCTTTTCTGGCCATGTTATCTGTAACTGTGAGCCTCCCTCACACAGCCCAGCTCTTTTCCTTTTTTCTCCTTAGCAGCTAACGTGTCATGTATTTTAGTGATTTGTTTCCTCTCTACCTTGTTCACTAGAATACAAACTTAGTAAGGGCAGAGAATTTTTGTGTGCTTCGTTCATTTCTTTTTCCAGCACTATAGAATCTATTATGTACTCAAGGGAGCCACTGAAAAATCTGGACTCCTGAATTAAAAGGGTATCTGCAACAAGCCGCCTTCTGTCTGTGTCTATCAAACACCTCAGTAGGTTCTGCAGGAAGTGGGGACACAGCTGCCTTGGTGAATCCTTCAGTGCATGTGTTGTGGAGCTTACCTTCACGTCACCAGATGTTTTCAGTGCGGGACTCGGCCTTGTTGGATCAAATGGTACTTCTTCTACCAGAGCACATCTGCTCAGTAAGTGCACACTTCCCAGGCGTAGTGTCTTTCTGAACCTCCACTTTACAAGAATTCCTTACACCCACCAAGCTCCGGTTCCACCTAGGTTTACCTGGAATTTCTGTTGTAAGAACTTTTCCTTTTCTGATTACCAAAACCTACAAGTCCTTCCCTCAGAAATGCAATCTATTCAAGTCCTAACTGAAGTCTGCAAAACCTGAGTGTCCTCCCCTTTCAGTCTTTGTCATTCTCCAAGTAAGTATTGGCTGGAGCTAGGCACCCCTGCCAACGTGCTCCCAAACACTTGGTGCTCATACAAAAATCTGCCGTTCCTCCTTTATTTGGCGTCCTCACGAGCTAGACTGTGAGCTTCAGGAAGGCACAGCCTAGTGTGTCCTGCTCACAACTACATCTCCAGCACAAAGGAGGGAGATAGCACCTAGTAGGGGCACAAGAAATGTTTGCTGAGTAACTAACAAGATCAGATAAATTTGAGGGCCACATATTCCAAAAGAGGTAAATGGATCATTAAAAAGAAAAGAATTTTAAAGCATAACCAATTTGTGTATCTCACAGAACACAATTATTCTTTAAAAAGTAAACACAAAAATGTCATGACATTGTTTAGCACTGGACTGTGGGATTTGGGATGAATTTTAATTATCCTATATTCCTTACTTATCAAGTCTTTGATAATGTGTCTTATTTTATGGTGGAGGAAAACACCATAAATTATAAAATTAAAAAATCAGCCTATTTCAAAGTATATGATAAACAGAGTACCATAAGCAGTGAAATATGACCAACGGGTTTTCCCCCTCACTTTACTATGATGTGAGTGATATGAAATTTCTGCCTTATTTAGCATCAACAGAATATGTTGATAAAATAACCCAAGTTTTAAAAATTACTACCTAGGACCTGAGTGTTACCAACACTTTATACATATTTTTAAAAATTCTATAGAAACTACGTTTAACAGAAATAATCTGGATTCTTGTTTGGTGCATAAAAACAGAACTGTGAACTTTATTTTATACTTGAGGGTAAAGACAAAAACAACAAATTTCTATCTTTCTAAAATGAACAGTCGGGCTTGGACAACTGGGACAGTCTCCTCTGCTCTGGAAGGTGTGCACTCAACTCAACGGGAAAGCAATGCTAGGGAAAAGAAAGTAAATAAGGGTTAAACAACATGGAAAGAGAAGTATACACATCATATTTTGTTATAAAAGAAAACGACTGCAACAAGAGTCTCAAACAATATAATGAATGTTATGATGAACATAAATTTTCAGTCTGCCAGCACTGTGAGGCATGCAGACAAAACAGAGTGTAGCAAATACCATTACAGAGATCATTTCTGCAGCACATGTCCTAGTATGTGGCTCACATAAGTTCTGTTAGTCTAGTCACACTGCCATACAGGTACACACTGTGTTCATGTATGTACACATGCATTGCATTAAATATATACAGTATATAGTATTAATAATATACATTCATTATTATTACAGTATATAGTTGTACATCATCTTAAGTACTGTATCATAAATATCCACATGAACATATATAATAACCCGTGAAAGGATTTCCTTTGTTTTTTTTTTCTGAGGTAAGTGATTTTTCATTTTAAATATTGGCAAACTGAGAACTGAGAAAGTCAAAGGACTTGCCCCAGCTTATGCTGTAAGCAGTGGCATGACTGAAACTAAATCCAGTCTCTAACACTAAATTCAATAACCTATTAATCTGTTCCTCTGTAACTAAGGTTAGGAATTAACATTGTAAATTTCAGTAGCACATTACAATTTTCCAAGCATTTTCACATACATTACATTGCTTACACTACACAAAAAATCTCAGACAACACTATTAAAGAGTTGAAAGGTTAAATTACTTGTTCTGTGAACACCACTAGTTAAATGATCTGGAGCGTCTAGCCCAATACTTTAGTTCTAGAGGTATCCCTCTTTCCTTACCAATCATTTTATTCTTATTTGTCCCTTCACAATTATTTTGTGAGAAGGAGACCCAGGCCAAAGCTAGGAGATCTGCAAGCCTATGCAATTGAGGCCCAGGAAATCCTTGGTATAGGATTCTGGGATGCTTCTCTCAACCCCTTCTAACACTACATTTTACAGGTTTGGGGAGCAGATAGCTGTGACCAACAGGTAAGAACTAGGATATCATCCCAGGTTTGCCAGACTTCTGAAGTCCTACTCCTTCCCCTGGATATGTGGTGTGGTTAATACACATTGAGGACTGTGACCAGGACAGTTTATTAAGGGTATATGGTATGGAGCTGTAGCGCCAGAGCAGGCAGATTTCATTTCTTTGCTCCCTCTGAGGCTTGAACCACACAGACCAATACAGCACCCAAACAATTTGGCACCTCTCTCGTTTACCTTCCCACCTTCCAAATATCCCTAATGATACTGATCATCTTACAATCCAAATATTTGTGGTTTCTGTTAGACAAACCAAGATGATGGCAGAAATATAAAGTAAACAAGAATCAAAGATTGTGCACATCAACTTTATATCCCATTGGTGATTACCTTCACTTTCCTTCTCATCTTCATTACCATCCTCTTCTTCTGTTGTTGTTGCTGACACTTCGGTACCCCCCTTCAGTTTCTCTCTTTCTTTCTTCACACCCTCCAAAATTCTTTCATTTTTCATACGTAAAGAATTGGCGTATTTGCTATAATATGGAAAGTACAAGTAAAACTTTATTTCTCAACAGTGTTCAGGTAACTCTATACTTCCCCACCTGATTCTTTAACTCATTCTAATTAATAAACCTGATAGAAAGCATTACACTCAGCTCATTCATAGTTATTACTGTAACTACCATTACCATCCTGTGCACAGTCATTTTGATCATTTGGCCCCCATCAGGGATGCTGACCTACTTTCTCTGCTGACATCATTGTTACCTACCCTTCAATACTCAGCTTAGACATTTTCTTGCTTAGGAAGCCTTCCCTTTCATTCCTAGTCCAGAAGGATTCCTCCTTCCTAAAACCTCAAACGAAATAGTGTTCATTCATGATGTAGTCATACTTACAATTTTCAAAGCACTTTCACTTACTATGGTTATCATCTGATAGTCAATGCCATACTCCCTTGTGTTCGTGTGACCACCGAGTGGAGGAGCACTTGAGAGGCCATTATATGCCAAGACCTTGCCTAGGTGCCTCACATATTTGCTTATTTAATCCTCAGAATAACTCTAGAAGGCAGACAGTATATGTTTCCTATTTTGCAGATGATTAAATTGGGGCTAACAGAGATAAGATAACTCACTTAGGGTCACATAGAGGTAGTAAATGGAGATGCCAGAATGTGAACATTGTGTGACTCTACAGTATAGGCTCTTTCCATTAAGACCAGACTACAGCGTCTGCCAATAATGGTTAGCAATCGCAAACACCGTATACTGCCTGTTGCTAAGGCCTGTATATACACGACCTCATTTCACTTTCATGATGACTTCATGAAACAGCTACTAATTTTACCATTTTAATTTTTAAACAGAAAAACTGAGATGACAAGATGAAGTTTAACTTGCCTGATGTTGCCCAATTAGCCTAGATCTAAGAGCAGAGAAGTGGTGTGGATTCAGTATCAGCAAAACAAGGAGCCAGGATTCAAATCCAGACCTACTTAAATCTAAAGTAAAATCTCTCCCTGACTATGCTAACCTGTCTGTTTTGCATGTATGAGCTTCTAAATCACTTAAGGCTAGAACCTTATAATTTTTATACCCTTCAGAGGAAATGGAAATGTTAGTTGATTTTTATCAAGAAAGTTGACCACTGTTTATAGGGCTCTCACTGTCTAAAGAACCACAAGACAAGAAAAAAAAGAAACTAGGAATGTTTATGGAAGAGGTGAAAAGAGAAACTTGAGATGAAAGAAAGAAACATTTGCCTTCAGTATTATGAACAGGTAATAACAGATGAGCAATCATCCTATCTTCCATTCAGTATTAGGTAACATACAGAAGAGAACACCACAGCCATGCCAGTGCTACCCAGCAACACAGACAAGCAGGGCTTGAGCATGCGAGGCCCAGAGATAGATAAGCCTGCCTTTGAAATGATGGCTTTGAAAGTAATACTCACTTTTCTCTCCAAAACTGCATTACCACGTTGTCACTAAGCTCTACTAGGTAAGCCAGATATGGAGCAAAGAAACACTTCTTTCTCAATTAAGCATAAAAAGTCTCCAGGCACAAATGAAATAGTGAATGAAAGCCCCAAGTATATTTATATGATTTACCTATTGTCCCTTTATGTTGCCAAGCTGTTAACTACAATCTCAAAAAATAGTAACTAACACAACTACACAGTTTTCAGGACCTTGGAACCAAGTGTGTTTCAGAATACAAAATTGGGGGGATTTTAGAGGTCAAATGATATGATACACAATCCAGTAGGATTGGGGTCAGCATCTCACAACCAAACATAGTAATATTTCTGCAACAAAATATGTATATGTACTCTGAACATGAAATAGCACTAGAAACAATCTCAGGTTAGGTAAGATCAGGTTTTGCTACTTATATGACTTAGAAAAAAATCTAGATTTGCAGAACATTATAAATATCAGAATGTTTGATATGAAACTAAAGATTTAAAAGAAAGAAATTGAAGATTTATACTTTTCTAATACAGTGACTCTAATATATCTTATTTTCCATAATCAAAATGAGCAGGTTTTCTTGATCTGGGGTTTTATTTTAAAATTGGTAGAGTACATTTCACTTTAACAAAAAAATGTAACACAGCCTTGTTATTTTAAAATCAACTACACTAACTTGTCTAGGTTTTAGAGGACTTGGTTTAGATTCAGTCTTATCACTAAATGGTCATTTCGCTAACATTTCTTTCAGAGGTCCAAAATCATATATTCTACTCAATTTCTAACTAGAATGTCCTAGAGAAGAAAGAAGAGGTGAAATGACTTGTTCAGTGTCCTAGAGGTGACACTCCTCTTCTCATATAAACTGTCATAAAACATGACCAATACATTCGCGGTTGTACAGTCAACTTGTAATGCACATTCACTCTACATACTTGATCATTTATGAAGTATACTATTCTAAATATTAGAAACATAAAGATAAGTATATCACAAAGACCTGTCCTTAAGGAGTATAAAGTTTAGAAAGGAACGCAGATATACAGGCTGGTAATTATAAATCACCCTGAAGTAAGTCCCAGCAGAAGTAAGCAGAGAATGGTATGAGACAGAAAGAAGCTTGACCCTTTGCAAGCAGGAGGTTTGACATAAGCTTCCTAGAAAAAGTAACATCTAAATGGAGGCTTGCAGCCTGAGTGGAGTAAACCAGATAAAAAAGAACAGAGGTGAGGGGGATGCATAAGAGCACTTCAATAAGTGATTACTCTGGGTAGAATGTTCAGTGTGGCAAGGTGGCACACTGGCTGTGAATACCAAGTACAGCAATGTGGCTGCAAACATGAAGTGAGTCCACAAGGAATTTCTAGTGATACAGATCCACACAGGTGTGGGACTTTTATTTCCTCTAGGAATTCTCAGGAGCCTAGATCTAAGAGCAGAGAAGTGGTGTGGATTCAGTATCAGCAAAACAAGGAAGCTAAAAAGAATAGATTGAAGCACTAATCAAGATGATCCAGGTTGAATAAAAGAAGATGATGTCAGGAAGGTAGCAAATGAGGTAAAACCCATAGAGTTAAAGAGCCCGGATGTCTCAGCATGTTAAAGAACAGGTGTATCGCGAGTAAAGCAAGAAGAAAAAGCACCTCCTGCTGAAGAGTAGGATTTTTAAACTTGACATTTCAGAAGTTCAAAGGCTCAATTTGGGGGGGATGACAATGTTCATAAATGTATGTGCATAAAAATAGGTAGGGAAGATGAATGTGTGATAGTTTCATCAGAATTGAATACACCAGGGAACCCTGGGGATAGAGGCTTAGATGGCTCATAAGATGGGTATGAAGCTACCAAGAAATATGGTAAAATGGAGAAGAACACAATACCTAGAAAATACCTGGACCAAAGCAAGATTTTATTAGAGTTTTTGTAATGGATAAATGAATAAAGTGTTCAATTAGAGAAAGTCTAGTGAAATTTCAAATAGGCTGTGTATCAGATTAATTTGAGGTCCTTAAAAAATACAAATTTCAGGACCAAACCTCAAATTTAATCAGACTATAAGGTACAGACTGAGATCTGTAGTACTGAATATTGTATTCCCAAGGTTACTTCCATAAAAGCCATATACAGACAAGAATTTGAGAAACACTGGTCTAGTGACTGATGTTTTTGAGATAAAGTCTCTAATGCTGCCCAAGTTATCCTCCAACTCTTGGGCTCCAGTGATCCTCCTGCCTTAGCTTCCAAAGTATCTGGGGCCACAGGCATGTGACACCACACCTGGCTTGTGAGTTGATCTTCTGTATTTAACAAACTCTATTTCATCAATATAAGTACTGGTCTTTTAAGATAATTAAAAAACACAGCATCAGTTTTTTTCAGTGGGTACCAAGAATCAAACTTAGGACCTTGAGCTTGCCAGACAGGTGCTTGTGCCACTAAACCTATATCCCTGGCCCTAGTATCAATTTTATGAAAAAGATACAGTTTAATTTACCACTTGCAAGGTCACAAAGATGTGCAGAAAATCCACAGAAACAACTAGATTATTTATATCAATATGTATAGAGTTGCCTACTACATGGTCCAGAGAGGACCAATTTTACTCTAAACAAGAAAGATCTGGTGGGGCTTCTCCTAACACAGGCTGCTGGGCACCACAACAAAATTTATGGCTCCATCGGTCTGAGGTGGGGCCTAAAAACATGCATTTTTAAAGCTCCTAGGGGATGCCGATGATATACTGGGTCAGAGACCCCAATTTGAGAACCAATTTGAGAAAAGAGTGGAAAGCAAATAATATTTACATATTAAATTCTGTGGAACAGAACGTAAGTGCAGAAAGAAGTTCTGAAAAGAGAGAAAAACCCTGGGACCCGGAACAGTTGAAAAACGCTTCATAGAAGAGCTAAGGTAGCTGCAATTTTTTAAGAAAAGAAAGAATTCACATAAGGGAAGAGGATGAAGGAAAACTAAGAAATGGGAGCAACACAGGCAAAAAAATAGAGGTGAGCGTGAACCCTGTGGCTGCCAAGAAAAGTAAAGATACCTCCCTGGTTGGAGCAAAGAATATGTGTTAGCAGTACTATTATGGAATTTATAGGATGAGCCCAATGTCGATGGGTCTGAAGGTGCCAGCCCTTTGAGGGATCTAAACTGACAAGATGTCACCATATTTTTAATCTACACTTGTTTCTTTTATCCTACCTACAATGGAAAAAGCAAAAAAAAAAAAATCAGAAGATGGCATGGCATCTTTGCTTTGTCACTGTTTAATCTTTTTTAAATGTAGTAAAACTGTACTAATTTTTTCTAGTGCTGGAGCTCAAACTCAGGACATTGCAAATGCTAAGCACACACTCTGCCACCAAACTACCTTCTCAGCCCTTCAACTATGAAATCTTAAGAGGTCAAACCACCCTCCATCTCTCTGTTTTAAAGGTAAATAAGGCAATACACGTGATAGAAGCTGGAAAAGGCCAAGCATATGCTGTTTTTATCTGTACCTCATCTATGGACTATGATATTCTACCTTGGGTACTTGTATATATATCCCTT